GGCGAAATCCAGTGCCCTTGTCGGGGGTTGGGCCACGGGGCTGGCGAACGGGCATGCGCTCCTGCTGCCCGTCATATCCCATACCCATGCCACGGTTGCTACCAATGGCGCCAGCGTTAGATTGTTGGTTGTCCTGTTCCCAGGAGAACATGCCTCGCAGGCGACGAGGGCTCGAGTTGGGGCCACCAATACCGGTGCCGAGGGAAAGTCCACCCAGGCTGTTGACCAGCAGGTCATCACGCTGCATGCCAAGAGAAGAACCAGACTGAGCAGGTGTGAGAGTCGGGGTGTTGGAAGTCCCAGTGGGCGCACCCTCATACTGGAGGCGGGCGCCATTAGACTGCAACGCGGCGGGGAAGCTGGCGGAGGAAGGCACGGGTGAAGGGGTGTAAGATCGCAGGTCGGCAAAGGACTTGGCAGCCCGCAGGTTCTGGCCGTTGGAGAAGTTGCCAGGGGAGTCCATCACGCCCAAGAAACCCGAGTTTTGTCCACGCAACGTGTTGAAAGCGCCAGGCCCGGCCTCTTGGCGAGCCTCGCTGAAGTCGATGGTCGCCGCCCGGTTAAGGCCACGACGACCACTGTCGGACTGACCAGAGGGCGGGATAGAAGAGGTCGGGGGGCTGACATTGGCACCTGCGGCGATCTTGAAGACTTGGACCTGCCGCTGTTCGCCGCTGCCACGTGAAGCATGGCCCAAGCCCATGTTGTGGGCCAAGGTGTGAACAGTACGACGCTGGGACGGAGTGAGATTGTGGGGGAAGATCACGGAATCGCGAACAGTATCTTCCTTGAATAGGAGTAGTTGGGAGTAATAGGAAAGGGTCTGCGTGTCGTTCAAGTCCACATCTGTACAGGGGAAAATTTTTGTTAGCCACAGCTCGAATTTTCAATAACCCTCAAAAAGCCCCCCGAGTGTGTAACGTACCAATCTTTTGTCCACGCTGGGACACGGGCGATGGGGAGGTTGCTGGGATGTGCGAGGTGAGTGAAGACATGGAGCTCTGCGTCTGGAGCTGAGGACCGCCTCCCATCGGGCGGTGTTGTTCTTCCAGCTGGCCACGGCGTTCCCGCTTCTCGCGCTCGATGCGTTCCCGCTCCTGCAGAGGAAGCATCTTCTTGTACTCGACTCGCAGTTTCCGGCCCTGTAGCTCAAAGTGGTTGAGCACCTCGATCACGGTTGCTGTCTCCTCGGCGGACGTGAAGTTGGCAAAGGCCAACCCACGGAAGACCCCATTATCAAAGTGATAGTTGAATGCGTAGGGCAGGGGGAGGTTGAGTTCCGTCATCAACTGCACCAGCTGCTCCTTCTTCACGGCAAAGGGGATATTTTTGATGACAATCGCGGTTGGGATCAATTCGTCGTCGTCGGCAGACGAGGCCGAGGCTTCCGGTCGCATCGCGCTGCTCTGAATGGGACCAGGGCCCAGGTTCGAAAATGCTTGAGGCATGTTTGGTTGCTGATCCAACCATGTCTTCAGACGACTATTAGTTTTTTTAACCCTCGGGGAAGATAGGGGGATGCATCAAATCACGACACATACCGTGGGGAGGCCGGCACGTCCACGGGCATTAGGCTTCAAACTAGCGGAAGCCGAGCGAATTCCTCCGAGAGTTTGTGCATTAGCAAAACCGTTGGGATTCCAAGTCTGCGAGCCGGAGATATCATATCCGTAGTTGTTCTGCAGGGACGGGTTCAAGCGTTCGAGGCGAGCGGACTCGTAACGCATCTGATCTTGTTCGTACATGTTGGTGGGCATAGGGCCATATGCATCGAACTGTCGAGAAGGCTGACGGTGTAAGGGTTGTTGATGCCTCTGAGACCCAGGGGAACGCGCAGAATGATCGTGATACATGTCTTGATAACTCATCGAGAATTCCGAGCGTGGAATGTGAAAATCCAAACTTAAAGAAAATAACAGTCCTCCACCATGAGAGCGACACAAGTTGTAAAGAAACCGTCGAGGGACGGGATTGTGCGGATGTTTTGGGGGGAAGGGAAAACTTTGGACTAAAAGCCGATCGGAGGGAGATTCTGGGCGGAGAACAAAAAAAAAAAATAGAAAAAAAAGCAGAAAAGGGCAAAATATCTCCAAATATCACGAATTAAATGTTTCGATTCATTCAAGGGGCTTTTGCTTTTCTTCTTTTCCTTCCTTCTAAAGTTTTTGGTGTGTCGGGGGATTTCCCTCGGTGAAACCAATATAAAGCAGATGAAACCTGAGTGTTGACAGATCTCAAGATAAAAAAATCAGGAAGAAAAAGAGAAAAGATTTCCAAAAGTCGGTCCACAAATCCGCCAAGAAAGGGAGTAAGGAGGTGATAGAGAGAAGAGAGAAGAGAGAAGAGAGAAGAGAGAAGAGATCGAGTCCTCAGGCAGAAAGGTGAATATGAAAATATTTCTATCAAGGGAAGAAAAAACAGGTTAATAGGAGAAAGTCTTACTTATAGCATTTATAGCATATATAACATTTATAACATTTATAGTACTTCTAGTCTAGTATTTCCCCCCCCTAGACTGGTGGACTCATATACCCAATGAGACTATACTATTTTAATATTTAGCTGCATGCCAGAGTAGAGAGGATACAGATGGACAGTATATAAGATACCTGCTTTAAATTTGTGTAAACTTCCCCTTGAACTGTGGCATTTACATCATATCATATTGTATACGTCTTCCCGCTGTATATTGTATTCCCCTTTATCTATTTCCCCTGGAATTTAGGAAGATCCCCCTGAGGAAATCATCGGAAAAGACGTTAACAGCTCCCTCTCCTTCTAGTTCCTGATGGCTTAGCCTTTTACCAAGACGCCGGTGCCTCGTTAGGCTCCTCACTAGGCAATTTAGAGGACCCCGCCGTGGTGGGCACCTACTTATAGCTTCTCATCCCTGAGCAAATTTGGGGAAATACGTTCATTTTATTATTTGGCGTGGATGATGCGCACGAGTCCGGCTTGCCTGACGTATAGAAAGTTGGGGGTTCACACCCTGCCTCGTGCTTAGCAAGGGGTCCTGCACCTACTACATGTATGTGATTCTCTATATTTGATACACCACCGGTTTAGACAGAGCGTATGTATCATGGACTCCGCTTCATTTTAATTACTGTATTCCATCTTCAGGGGGTGGATTTTCTATAATTACTTATTTACTCCTGAAGTTAGTGCCCCCTATTTCGCTTCGCCCCATCCCTCATGGCGAGTTCGTGGAGTCGCCACCTTATAAGAGTTATGTTTAATAGCCGTGGAAATTTCCTGAAAGGTTCGACCCAGCCGGATAGGCCACGTTGTTTCCCCATCGGCTTTTTACAGCTAAATTGACAGGACAGGAAAGCTCTATACCCAGTCCCACTTCCGTGAAATTGGACCTTTTGTCCGGTCTCCACGATCCGCGCATCCCCCGTTTCTAGCGCATGCACCGAAGCTCCTCAGAGGTTCCTGTGGTCCAGCTAGAACCCGCTAGACGGTGGTTAGAAGGTATTGGGAGATCCCGGTCTGGTGGAGCTTTTGAACCTCCGGCTCGTGGTAACCTACTCCGGACAATCGCACTCGGGAGAGACTCCTCCGTTCTCCGTACAGAGTATAGTCACGAGATTTCAAGTGACGCTAGAAAAGTCTACGGAACCTTTGCTCTGGAGTCTGATTCGCTTCGGCTGTCGTTCCCGTAATAAGCATAGTTAGGAGATGTCTCAGTAAAAGGAGACGACGACCAGGAGAAATTATATATTGCACATGACACACTTCCGATCTTGCTCTCTACCTAACCTACCTAACCCGTTGAGAGTTTGCGACCAAAAACCAAAGGGAACCCCCCATGGTCACTACTGGATTGATCTACAGAGGGCCGGGTCGGGTCGTAAGGACATCCACGATGTTTCAGGAGAAGTGTGTGATTCACAGGGCAAGTGACCCCCTAGCGCAAAGAGTATTCTGAAATAATACCTTGAAGGCTATCAGCCCTTGGGATGAGGGGAACAGGCAAACTCCATATGTACGCAGCTGGAATGAAGGTCCAACTTGATCAAAAAGCCCAAGGATAGAAGGATTGGTAGAGATTAGCCACAGTTGAATTGCAGCTCGCATAGGACCTCTGCCAAAAAAAAAAAAAAAAAAAGAAAGTCTCTGAGATACCAGGGTCTATTACGCGAGGCAGAGGTAATAATTTAACTAAATGCCATGGCTGATAATGAGGTTCAGGTTGAAAATGAGACACATTTCCAACCAATAACCTCATTTTTGATCAAACTGAGTCAAATCTGTGTACGACGAACCTGATATAAGGCGTAGAGAGACATGAAACGCTAGTTAGTTAGTTAGTTATCGGTTTCAACTTGGATGGCCTAGGAAACTAGGCCAATATCGAAATCTGACGTAACTAGTTAACTTAACTAGATAGTAGATCGTACATCCATGGATACCTAGGGACTGATTCAAAGGTAGTAAATGTTCAACGTTTGACCCGTTCGGCCCGTTTGAAACGTTACATTTTCAACTAGTTGCATGCAGCAATTATGTCCTTAAATCTAATTCAAGTCAAGATACATGGTATACATATGTAGCTTTTTTACCTCTTCATATCTGTACCAGATACTAGATATTGTTTAATTCCAACAGAGGATCGACAGTTTCATGGAAAGCGGTATTCGACAATAGGTGACGACCATCAAACCGTCAGACCCACATGGAGGTTGCAATCGCCGGATGGAGACATGAACAGAGGCTGATGATTATTCCACTTGAGATGAAAAAAAAAAGTCGGGAGTCAGTAAGATACATATATATCAAGTCAGGAACCCAATCGAAACCAATTGTCTAATAAAAAAAAAAGAAAAAGAATACAACAATGTACGTGTATCTCGTCCACGCGGCTGACGGGGGCTGAAGGCCAAGGCGAGTGGATACTAATTGCGTTTAAAGTGGCTTTTTTTTCGCTTCGACTTGGATCTACATACTCGAATTCGATCGATTTTTCTGATCTTCAACTCTTCGCATGCTGGACAATGCGGACTCCATTGCGAGCGGCGATAGCCATTGCGCTAATTGTAACCATATTTTTGGTGAAGTTTCACCTCGATTCTATCTTGCAATGGAGTGATCGAACTCCCGAGCTCTATGTCCTAGATGGCGATACATATATCGAGCTGGTCTCTGCCCATACTACGACATCCGCTTCACATACCCAAACCCGGAGGAAATGGGCCCCCACGGCCCGACCTACTCGTTCTGTGGTACTCAATAATCCGGAACCCAAGCGCATCCCCGTTGATGTCCCCGGTGCTGAATGGGCCGGAGAGCTATTCTGGAGATCTACGGCGCCCGAATTCTATGATTCAATAGGCTTACTCGAAAATCCCCAAATACTCGCTCCGGTAGAGCATGACGATGCGGTGACACCTTCGTCTACTGCTCCTGCTCGCCCAAAGGTCACTCCAAAATCGGACCGTGTAATTGTTCTGGGGAAGATGTCATACGAAAATACCGATTGGCTTGACGATCAGCTACCAGAGTATGTCCCCATAGACCCAATCACTAATAAACTATGCCAAATGCTAATCCAGGACTCGAATTCTAGATGGCAACATGCAGTCTATCTCGTCGATGACCCCGAAGCAGATCTGCCAGTCGAACAAAACAAGGGCAAAGAAAGTAGTGCCTATCTGCAATACATTCTGGACAACTACGACAAATTGCCCGAGTACATGGTCTTCCTCCACGCTCACCAATACAGTGGTCACGTCGAATTCTGGGAGCAGGACAATGTGTTGAGCGTTCGAAGGCTGCAGCTCGCCTACCTCCGTCAAGTTGGATATCTCAACCTGCGCTGCGACTGGAGTCCGGGATGTCCCGATGAGGTCCAGCCATTCCGGCAAACGGCTGGTCGCACTACCGAGCTTGCCTTTGCGGGTGCTTGGATCCGTATCTTTAACAACACAAACGTGCCTGAGATTGTTGCTACGCCTTGTTGTGCCCAGTTTGCTGTCACCAAGGAGCAGGTCCTTCAGCGCCCACGGAGCGACTATGAGTCGTATCATCATTGGCTTATGACAACCGAGTTGGACGATGAGACGAGTGGTCGTGTCTTTGAATATATATGGCATATTATCTTCGGGCAGGATCCCGTCTTGTAAGTTATAACACAAGAAATGTGCCAAGGAAACGATGCTAACGTGACTGTGAACAGTTGTCCTGCAAAGGCGCAGTGCTACAAGGATGTATATGCCATGGATTATAAGGAGCCAGATGAGGATTTCTTCGGTGATGATATCTGGGGCGATTGGAATGATGAACCACCTGTGGATGAAACACCTGCGCACGAAACGCCTGCACACGCACCACTCGCACATGCAACACCTAGTGCATGAATACCTTTGGGACGAGATATGATTGTATTTATCTAACTTATATAGAGCTTCTGGGATGTATCAATACCTGGACTTGCATTAATGTTCAATTCGATTGCTTCTTAGATCTGTTGCTATATATTCTACGCATCTTCTGGTTATTCTAGGGAATGACAGATCCCCGCCGGGTATACACGACCGTAACTATACTTTCTCTCACTCCAGTCTTTCCCGAAAATACGAAATTGAAATTGCATGACGGTAGACTATCTCAAAATGAACACAACTCATTGATATCATCTGCAAATTTGAAGGAAAACATTGCACATATTCATATAACCATCATGTATATCTCCACTCGTTGATCTTGGAAGACCCGACACTCTCGAATCTCACAGCCAAGCCAAAGCCATCAGTCCCATGATACCTGCCATGGATGCAGCACCGGGAACTGAAATATCTGCTGCTGCATCAGGAGTAGGAGTGGCAGAGGACGCAGAGCCCGCCGAGGTACCGGGGGAATCAGAGGATCCCGAGGAGCCAGATGAAGTCGAGTCCTGGTTGTTGATTCCGCTGGTGCTAGAAGAGGTTGTAGTGGCAGTGTTTGAAGTAGCAGTGCTAGTAGATGTGCCAGTCACAGTAGTGGCAGTGGTAGCGGCAGAGTTGTAGGTAGTCGTGGTGAGCGAGCAAGAGTAGACAAGGTCAAGAGCCTCTGGTCAATGCATTAGATTTATCTTGTATCTTCGTAATGCATCACATTATACATACCGTTATCATCGTTATCATCGTTATCATCGTCGTCTTCATCTCTGTCGTCGTCATAGTCATCACGGTCTCCATGGGTAATGTTGTTGTTGCGCCTGTCGGTTTGGTACTGGGTGATACAGGCAGAGCAGAGCGGGATCTGAGTTTTGGCATTGTCCCAATCGCAAATGCATTGGATCTCAGCTGAATCCCGTTCGTGCTTGGCATCACAGCTCTTGGCGATTCCGACGACGGCGCTGCAGGCAGACCAGCAGCGAGTGGGGACATCGTCATGGTCCAATTTAGATGCGATGGCGATGTTAGTGGCAAGTAGGAGGCCACAAATGGGGAGAAGCTGCTGAGTACGCATGATTATTGATGTAGATGGATGATGGTAAAGGAGTTTATGTTTTGGTTTCTGATTAAAATCTACAGTGGGATTGAAGATATATTTATATTGTTCAAGCCAATATAACCCTGCTATACATGTAGGAAATGATCTTCTTTGTCCACATTCCTCACGCGTAGTCAGAGTTCAGTAGAAAGTAAACCGAGGAGCCCCCAAAGTGCGTGCATCCCTGTCAACGACGCAGTGATCAGCGGAGTCCCGCCAATGTTGGTTGTGCGAAAGCAGCTGCCTGGTTTATGCGGGCAGCCAAGACTTTGCCAAGAGCCTGGATTGAAATGCATACCAAGATAATTGCTAATAATATCGTGCATTGGGGTTCTGTGTTCTATATATTTCTATATGCAGGCACTGTGGCTATGCTTTAATCCCCAACTGAGCTTGACCTATGACCAATTGCTCAGTTACGGCGTCTACATCTCGTTCCCGTTCGCCAAGGGTCTTATTCCACCCCGGAGATCCTATGTGTCTAAGCCACGCTGTGGGGCCAATCGGTTCATATCGGGTATTCTGCTTTGATAGTTTTAACATTCTCCGTACTCTGCTTGAGAATAAAATCCATTATCAAGTTCCCATGCGGGTTACCGATAGCCGAGCTCACCCGGTCCCTTCTGCTATATATAGCTAGTATACAACTATAAATCTTAAATGGATTGATCTCCAGGCTTCAGGATTCTTCAAGTTCCTGAATTAATGCCTGCGAGTAGACTAACACTATTCCATAATTATTTCAGACCGTTAACACCGCCCAAAGTGACTTAGTAGGCAGCTAGTCCAGACTAACGCGACTATCAATCTTTTACGCCGCGTTTTGAGTAAAACTAACAAAACTAGCCGACCTATTCTAGTCTCATCGGTACACCTCGTGATGTATTATTTTAGGCCTGGAGGTTCCCATATGTCCAGGCTAGGGGTTAGTAAGAAAGCGTTTGAATTCCACGGGACCCCGCAATCATAACATCATTTGAAATATTTTCAAGCTGAACGTACTTCTGCCCTACACTCAAAGTTGGTCAATCAAGAACTTCTTCCCTAAAAAAAAAGATGACTCGGACTGTCGGCAAGATGTGGGAAAAGTACTGCCTGCGTCCAACTCAGGGCAATGTCTCCACCATCCCAGTTTTCGTCTACGGTACAGCCTGGAAGAAAGAACGCAGCGCCGATCTAGTCTACAATGCAATCAAAGCCGGTTTCCGGGCTGTGGACACAGCGGCCCAACCCCGCCATTACCAAGAGCATCTCGTGGGTGATGGCATCCGCAGAGCAATTGCCGATGGGATCGTCGGTCGAGCCGACTTGTACGTGAGTGCGCACTGGTTATTTTTAGTCTAAATGTATTTAGGGATTTGACAACTAACCATAGTTAGGTGCAAACCAAATATAGTCCTGTCTCAGCACAGGATCCGGCCAATATGCCCTATGACCCGTCAGCGACGGTGACGGATCAGGTCCATGCATCTATCAAATCATCATTGCACAATCTTCGCTCAAAGGTTGACCCTGACTCCGTGGATGAGACCTATATTGACACGGTGATCATCCATTCCCCACTGTCAACTTTAGCCCAGACCCTGGAGGCCTGGCATGCCCTTGAGACTTATGTCCCCCATCGCATCCGGAATTTAGGTGTCTCCAACTGTACATTGGCTATACTCCGCGAATTGTGTACTTCACCCCAGACAACTGTGAAGCCATCAGTGGTACAGAACAGATTCTACGAGGACACTCTGTTTGACGTCCCCTTGCGCGCATTCTGTCGCGAGAATCGGGTCATATACCAGAGCTTTTGGACATTGACCGCGAATCCAGACCTCGTGCGCTCTAAGCCAGTGCAGCAACTTGCTCACCATGTTAGCATAACCCCAGCTGCTGCATTATATGCGCTAGTGATGGGTTTGAAGGATGTGGTGGTGCTGAATGGGACCAAGAACGAGTCACGCATGAAGGAAGACTTGTCTGCCCCTACACAGGTGGAGGATTTCACGCAGAAGCAACCTGAGTTATGGCAACAGATTCTGACAGACTTTCGGGGTTTGATAGGGGAATCTACATAGTTTCACATCAAACGTTGAGCGAGCCATGTGGGGGCCAGTCGTATACTGCTTAAGGTAGTTGCTGCAAAATTCAACTGATTGAGAGGATATAACCACTTGGCGAACTTTGCAGTCAAAATATATGTAGATTTCTATCTGTATACCTGATAAGCATATGTGATCACATGGTAACATGAAGTATCCGTGGACTTCCAAGTACTGGTCACCACCTTGCTGACTCAGGAAACGCCTCCCCGCAGGACAATTTGATCTCGCCGCCGAAGTGGCATAGGGGAGCTCACTTTTATTCAACTGAGCATATTTGTTTGATTATATCCACTTCTTAACGTTAGTGCCTCTAGATTATATATTATAATACTTGGCATATCATTCACCGCCCAAGCGCTTTCTGCTGGAGCCTCCCGCCTTATTCTGGATATTGAACAATTCACGCGCCCACTGATCATCTTCCTATTAATCACTGCTAGTCCTTGATCTGCCTGTTGTCGATTCCTGGGATCTTTTGTTTACTTCGGTGTTGATATCGATAGATTCGCGCGATCGGTGGCATCCCTTTTTTCTCTCTCGGTTCTGTGGTCAAAGCCTTTTTGACTGAAAATTAGGCGACTTGGATGAACAACTTCTTACATACTGAGTCCGCACCTGGTTCCTTTGTCTCCTAGGCAAATTTCCTGCGGTCAACTCAGTCTCCTATCCAGTGACCGAAAATTGGGATACAATTCTATATCGAACTCCATCGCGATAAGATTCAACGCCTTTGCGCCGGCCTATTCACCATGAGTTCGCAAGGAATGACCCGCAAGAGACCTGCGCCGGGAACAGTACCACCTGTCCACCCTCAGATGAATCCTGTACCGACCTTCCCGACCACCGCGAACCCCGGCTCTCAGCTTTCGAACGATCAATTCTTACAATGGGGTCAGAACCCCCCCGCTAATGCTATCAATACTTCCGCCTTCTCCGATCCCACCTACAACCCGGCAGGGTTTGTGCCACCCCCAGATGTATCTGCACCAGCTCCGACAGCATCTAATCAACTCGCCCGCCGACAAGCGAACCAGATGGTCAGCCGAAACCGTGGCTACGAACAACCTCCTGCTTCATATGTAGAAAACGGCGGAAATAATGGAAATGGAGAGAGCGGTGCATGGGGAGAGTCTCTAGAGGAGCTCTACCGGCGAGCCTTGACTGCCAAGAGAGATTCACAGGCAAAGCGAAAGCAAATACCGCCATTTGTACAGAAATTGAGCAGGTATGACACATCTATTGCTTTTTTGATCAATTATAGGGCTAACTGAGAACTGCAGTTTCTTGGATGAATCCAAGAATACGGAACTGATTCGATGGTCCGACGATGGCAATTCCTTTGTCGTCCTAGACGAAGATGAGTTTGCCAGAACCTTGATTCCCGAGCTCTTCAAACACAATAACTACGCCTCATTCGTCCGACAGCTGAACATGTACGGATTTCACAAGAAGGTCGGACTGTCCGATAATTCAATGCGCGCCAGCGAACGGAAAAACAAGAGTCCCAGTGAATACGCCAACCCTTATTTTAAACGAGGCCACCCAGATCTCCTGTGGCTCATTCAGAAGCCAAAGAACGCTGGAGGCGGCGGACATGCGAGCAAACCTAGCAAGGGCGGCACACGCGTGAAGACGGAGGATATTGATGATAACGAGATGGACGATTATGTCGAAGAGCGTGCACCGGCTCCTCGTGATAACCGTGCTCCCCGACCACAGCAATTGTCATTAGTCACGGATAGCTCTGTACCTAGTGAGCAACTTTCTGGGGTATATCGCGAACTCCAGGCGATTCGTCAACAGCAGTCAATCATCTCAACCACAATCACCAGGCTGCGGAAAGAACACGAGCAACTCTATGCCCAGGCAGCCAACTTCCAAGAGCAACACACTCGCCATGAGAACTCCATCAATGCTATTCTGACATTCCTTGCAACTGTATACAACCGCAGTTTGCAGGGAGAGGGTGGGCCACAAAACCTCGCAAATTCTTTTGCGGGGGCCATTTCCCAGGACCAGGGAAACATTGTAGATGTGGATGATGACTACCTTACCAATGCTTTGGGATCAATGACTAGCCCGAATTCCCAGAGAACAATGAAGAAGCAGCCGCTGCTTTTGAAGGCTCCGCCCACAGCGGATGCGTATATCCGGGCCTCCACAGTTTCCCCATCAGGCAGTGGCTCGTATGACACGCGGTCTCGTGGTCATGCTCGGCAACCTAGTGCCAACCAGCACGGCCATGTGGAGGAGGTCTTTGACCATAGCCCCCGCCCGAGTGCTCCAACCGTTCCTCCTGGACAGCCGACAGAGGAGACTTCCCCCCAACGAGACATTATGTCTGTCATCCAAAACTCCAATGCACGTAACGGGCTCTCAACAAACTTCTCCGAGTTCCCCAATGTGCTCTCCTCCCTTGAAAATCATGGTGGTAATGTTCCCCTCACGGCAAATCAACGCGCCGATATGCTTCGACTCATGGCCAACGAAACAAATCTATCAGAACCGAACGCAGGCGTATCACCCAACAACGCGCTCATCTCGCCGACTCCACCCCCCATGCCGCCCAACTACTCGGGCAGGCTAGCCAGCACACGACAAGAAATCGACAACCTAGTCAAGATGCAAGCCGAGCAAGATCGTTCCGTCCAGAATTTGACCAGTCTCCTCCAACCGCTGAGCCCGAATGGTACCATCCCCGGTATCGAGGGCGGTGATGGCAATGTACCTCCCCCACCGCTTGATCTTGACCAAATATTCAACAATGACTACTTCACCGACATTGGAGACGCAGGTTCCGATATGAAGAAACAGGCCGAGAATCCAATGAACCACATGGGGACAGGCCAGAATACACACGATCCTGTGGGGACCACCCAAGCCGATGACGGAGACACCAACGACCTGTTCGATTTCGATCACATCCCTACCGAGCCTGATCTCTTTGAAACCCCTCACCATGGGCAGGGGGATTCCACCTACCACTATGGCTTCGACGGCGTCGGCTACGATGAATCCGGGCGTGTGATCGAGCAACTGACGGATAGTGAAGCCACTAGTCCCGCAACCACGGAGCACATAGGCGAAGCTATGGATGATGGTGGCAGTGCGACGAAACGGCGCAGAAAGGTGTGATTCGGTCGATGGCGCAAGGAATACCAGATGGAGCAAATTCACAAGTACGGGTTAGGACTTGGATGAAAACAAAACTTCTCGGCGTACAATTAGGCGTTTTTATGTTAATATGGGGTTTACTCACGTGCCTGGGGGAATTCGACTGGGCTGTAAAAACCTATGATGATCCATGAATAATCCAACTGGAAGTAATGAGATACCTTTGCTTTATCTTGACAGGTTTAATATGCAATATTCTAGATCTATTGTCGACAGTATTTCTAGCCTGCTGAGGATATGTAGACTACACTTGTTATTACTTACATGTACTGCTCTTAGCGACTAAGTCCGGAATGTCGATATACAATCTCGGGACAAGTGGATACCAGAGTCCACGGTTACCCGCAGATCACCCGAGATCCGAGATCTACGGCCCGTACTCAAATGTATGTAGACGAGCCTTACACATGCGTCTCCTGGACGAGAGAGAGACTTGTAGGGAGGGCAAGGAGGCCAAAGTAAATGGAGAATTTAAGATAGAATCAAATTTGCCGGCTCGGATCCCATCAAAAAGCATCATGGAAAAGGTGACGGGCGATTAGCGATGTGAGCGCACGACTTGAGCCCAGACTGATACCAATTATCAGGAACTGTTAGGAACTGATTTGGCAGAAACTAAAGCAATATAATCACTTTTGAGTAAAGCTTACACGACTTCAGTGTGGCCATACTCCCTAGCTGCACCCATCTCTTCTAATACGTATACTTTGGGTCGGCACCAATTTCCAGTATCACCTTAAGGATGGGACGACTCCTTCTCTTAGCCATTCAAAAAAGGGGCTTCTCTTTGCAGGCTTTTTGGGTCTTGATGTGCCCCGTGATCGAGTAAACATCTAATGCACTATTCGTACCCAGTCGCAGCTGCAAAATGCGTGGTAGTATCGGCTCCAATGGTCATATTAGTCGGCTTGTATCCTCGGCACACTCGAAAGGAGGTTGGAGATCTCTGGATCTTCAAAGCTGGACACCAAGCCTGACTTCACCATCAGCGGGATCGTTTCCGTGGTAGCCCTTGGGATACACACCGAGTCCTGAAAGTTGAAGTCGACAGTGAAGTCTGAGCCCTGAGAGAAATGTGGTACTGTTTTGACGCAACCTGTTTTACTAACACTAGGCTTCAACGTTGAGCAATTGGCCATCTTGCTATGCACTTGGGGTCGAAGATTCCTAGGATCAAGAAGCGGCATCTTCGAGTGTATCTCGCTAGTGGCCGTGGGGATGTGCCTTTGTTTTTGAAAAAAAAAAAGAATGGCCAGCTCAGCGTAGAGCCGATGGTTTGTTGATTTGATCCTGACAAAGGTGCTATTCGATATCACGGCATCAATGTTGAACTATAGTAGAGCCGAGCAACGGCGCACCACGGTCAGAACATCTGCAACTCTCACATCGAGATGCTCGAAATTGGGACTGATCGATGGAACAGAGCTGTAGGATCTGGTCAGTTTTACTGGTGATGAAAGGCGCTTAGCTGTAGACACAATACCTTTTGGGAGTTATACAAGCTTAACCAAGAAGACAGCTAGGTGAGCAAATCGACTGAAATCCCAAAACGTGGGGAACGTGATAGTGGCAGTCTTACTCTCTCCCATATTATTTCAATGCTTTAACTAAATGAACTGGACGCCATTTTAGTAAATGGTGTTGTATATACTTGGTGTGTAGTCGTCACATTGGAAGTGGTTATAAAGTTAGGCCTGAGGCATCTAAGACATCACCGCCTCTGTCTCCAACTCTCTCCAACTCTTTCTCTCCAATTTTTAAATCAACTTGTCAAATGCCTCCACGTCGCCCTCGACCAAAGTTATCTCTCTGGGTCCATTTTCGAAGATGGCTTCGCTACTGGAGCTCACCTCTCCGGCTACGTGGTAGTCTCATTCGACTCAAACACGAACACAAGTATCCCATACTGACGCTCCTTCGCTTGTTCATTCCCTATCCGTCCTGGCACTTCCCGATTCCAGAACAATTTTCTCTCCGCGAATTGATTGAAGATCAACAAAATGGGACCGGGATAATCCAATCCCATTTTGGTGCCATACATAATCTTCGCTGCATTCCGATCTGGCGAATGCGGGACACGCCACTGCGGTCTATTTACCGCCTCTACGAGCTCCACCTCGCCGATCGTTATGAGCTGATGGGCTATGAGACGGAGTATTTCTTCTTCCAGCAAAACTGGAAGCTGGGAGATATACCAGACCCGAGAGATCCTGATCCTCTTCGTTATGCGATGCTCGCTTCTATCATGGAAGAATTACATGAGGCAGTTAATTGGAGATTAAGCCTCGGTCTACGACGAAATCGGGAGCATGTCTATCGTGAGGAGGATGGGGACCCGTGGCCACCTTTTGCCCCGGAAGAACTACCAGACTGGACGAAAGATGTGACGCCTATGGATAAAGATCTATTAAGGCACTCTGTGTCACCAGAGTCACTAGATGCCGAGGGGAATCTAGTGCTTGAGAAGAATGGCAAGGGCCGTAATTTTGCTCGGCGCAATATCATCACCAACACAGGTTGGCTCTATACGGTCTAGGAGCGATGCGCTTGAACAATTGTCATCTCAACCATCAAATTCATTGGTCAAGTCTGGAATCAGTGAGCCCTCGTACCCGTGACATCCTATTTGAAGATATCCTCATTATATTCGCGACGGTAAGCGTCAGCCACTTGATGCATTATTCCGTGATCGGGAATCACGTCGAACCCGTTCATATTCATTGTCCGGATTGTTTCCAAATCCAGCGGGCCGTCATTTCGAGTTCTCAATTGCTTCAAAAGAGCAACTGCATCCGACAGATCTAGATTCGCCTTTCGATCCCGCTGCGCAGCATAGATCCTCCTCAATTTGCGCTCCAGGGCCCATTCGACCGGAGCGGCCAGGATCTCGAGGTTTTCCCCTTTAAACAGTGTGATGTCCTGTTTCTCGGCTAGTTTAAACAAGGTCTCTCGGGTTTTCCTCGTTACGAAGATAGCCATGGCTTCGTTGATCCAGTCATCGGTAAAGTGTAGTTTCTCTGCCACAGAAAGGACAGCCTCATGGAAGGCATTCTTTATCTCCTTGTCATCGGCAAACTCAGGATCAATCAGATAATCGATATCGCCTGTACTCTCGCGATTCTTGAGATATGACACCGCAAGGAACCCACCTGCACTGATCAGTCGGATGGGCGCGAATGCAACGAGCCAGTCGTCGCGACCCATTGCGCGATCGAGTGCTAAAAGGCCTTTTGTATAGTTAGCGTTAAAGGCAGCTTCTGTATAGTAGACCTTTTACAGGGTATCTTACCCTCTTCGAAATCTTTTGAATCGAGGAATCTCTTTCGTTCAGTCATGGTTTCAGTCAGCTTGTTAGAGAAAATATATCTCGGGTTAGAGTATGAGATTTGTATTTGGTGTCAGGAACTTTCCAAGGTTAGAACCCCTGTATACGCCGTCGTTATGGTGTGTTGCTTTCAGCCATAATTGGTAGAATCATACGGGAGATCATGCAATGAGGCTGACAAAAAAGACCGAGGCGAATATAATAACCAATCCCAGGTGACTCTGGTGATGTGTGTGTCCTGAAACTGCCTTGTTAAAACACCGGCGCTTACCCACAGGGCATGTATGGTTGTAGCGAAGGGCTAAAAATATCCGATAAGTAAGATGCCAGTATATATACAAAGTCAAAGACATTGATAGGGAAATAATTGACATTCATTAGAAATTTAGCGCCCCTTATCCCATTCCAAATCCCCAATTCGCTCCCGTTTACGCTCGCGCTCTCGATCACGCTGGAATCCTTTCTTTCGTCCAACCACCTCTTTCTCTCGCTCACGAGGATCAATCACCATCAGTGAATCTGCCTCACCTCCGTGCTCGCGCTTCCAGTTTAAGTCTTTCCCTAGGGTATCTTTTCCAAATCGGAGTTCGTGTGAGAGCCAACCTCCCTCTTGCTGTTCAGAGTCGTCCACCTCTACCTTGGGGTCATCCCAAGCCTGGCAGGATTGGCAGTTTGCAATGAAGTGTAGATCGCAGAGGTGGGCTTCTTCGTCTTCTTCGTCTTCGTTTTGATTTTCGGCGTCTTTGTCCATGTGACTTTTCCCTTGTGATGCTGTGGTAGTTGGTTCGGGTTTAGCGCCTTCGAGCTTGGCTTTGAATGCGTTAAAGAGCTGCAATGCTTCTCGCTCAGCGGCGCTACTAGGCCCTGTCCCGTTGCGACTGGAGCCATTTGCAGACCCTGGAGGTGGCCGTTTCCGTCCTCGGATTGAGGTCTCGGGGATCATGGCTTCGAGGGCGGACTTCTTTCGGCCTGTGTCCTTGGGGCCGACGTCGACGTCACGGCGCATGGATGCCATCAGAGCGGCAATCTGAGCGTTTGTCCGCGACAGCTTGGACTCCTTCGCGGGTTTGGTATCCGGGGTTGGGGACCGAACAGGCGACTCAGGGTCAGGCAGGGGGAGTTGTGTTTCTGGGTCTGGTGTCTTTGGGCGTTTCTTACGATCTGTAGACGGTGATGGATCTAGAGATGGCGACCGGGGCCGTTTGCGCGGCTGTGATGGGGCTTCTCCTCGGGGTTTGGGTTTTGATATTTCGGTCTTTGCACTTGGCGCATCGACGACCAAATTGGTGTTGAATTTCGGCTTCGCTGGGCGTATAGGCATATCTTCGTCTCCGTCGTCTCCAAAGCTCAGCAGTGTCTTCCCGCCTTTCTGTGCCTTCTTCTTTTTCTTGGGTGCGCCCTTCTCTGCCTTCTCGGTAGTTGAGACTGTCTGTCTGTCCTTTAACTTGCCCTCCAATGGCCCCAGTTCTCCAACCTCGCAGGATGTCACCTTGACCGGATAAACGGGTCGCTCAGTGCCCGCAATGCGCTCGGCGTCTGCGATCTTCAACACATTGTAGATGCTATCTCCCTCTAGTCTCCCAAAAATTGTACATTTTCCATTCATCTCACGCTCCGTGTTCGCTAGCGTGATAAAAAATTGACTGCCGTATGTTCCGTCCTCGCTCTTAGCCATTCCCAGCAAGCCACGTCGATTGAAACGTAACCGACTGTGCAGCTCATCACGTAGAACCACTCGCTCTTCCGGATCCCGAGCTTCAGGGTCGAATTCGAATTCTGGGTATTCATAGATAGAGGTTCCGCCGGAGCCAGTGCCGGTGGGATCACCGCCCTGGATCACAAAATCGGGGGCTACCCGATGGAAGATTGTGCCGGCATAGTAATTATCCTTGCAATGCTGGAGGAAGTTCTTGCAGGTGAGAGGGGCCTGGCTTGCGAATAGCGCGATCTGGATAGGGCCAACCGTCGTGTTGAGCGTGGCCGATGCAGTGGGATTGGGCTCGCTGGTGTATTGGGAGGACATAATGGGCAAGTAAGCTACCGGCTTATGGCGCGTGCCACAATGGGGGGTAAAGCGAGGTTTTGGAGTGTGTTTGGGGATATGGACACCCCTCCTGAATGTCGCGATTCAATGGGTTGGTTTCTTCGATCAAAAGCTCAAAGGGAACGTCATGTCACGTGATGTTGGCCCAGCCCTTATCTACAGGTCATTGTTTATAAGATGAAATTAGATGAAACAAAAGTATGAACATCATTTCTTTGCATTCAATACTACATGACACATTTTGTACATCCCCCACATTCCTTGCAATACTTGTGACTAGCCAGGTAACATGGGGGGGGGGAGGCTATGTGTTGGGCATAAAACTTTTGTCGCATTTGGGAATAATTGATAGCGGTGGAAGCTCAGAGACTCTTTGGTATGTTGAGCAGATGTTGAGCATGCTTCTACCAGACTTGACGTTTGGTGACAGTACTGGTAGGTGGTTGAATGATTCGAAATCAACTCCCTCGGCTTACCGCATCGTCGCTGTGAGATATTGCTTTGAGAGGAGATATTTGGCGTTGACAAGCGTTTTGTCGGTTGCAAAATTGAGACTTCAGTCGGACACTGACATGCCAACCTTGCAAGCACATGTCGGCTGGACACAATCCAAGAAAATGGAGTCTTGAGATGATTACTGCCGGGGTGTTGGTAAAGATCAAGACGCGAACAGTCGCAGGTGTGTCGCATGGGAGTAGTCCGGTGTGTGTTGTCGCGTAGGGTGAAATTACTGATCATCTTCATGATGGGTGTCGCATGGGTGCTGCTTGATGGAGTCCAGAGGAAGATCACCACCGAGCAACCTTGCTCCAGTTCAGCAAGCCAGATTCACACCAGTTGTCCCTCTGCCAGAGTCTGTGGAACAATCATCCGGTTCTGCATCTGCTCCTGTTCTTGGTGCTGCTCCGGCCCCGAAGCCCTGGCATGAAGTCCTAACTTACACCGCAGACGGCGCAAAGTGCGCCCAGAGATACCGTAACCTTCTTGCTGCAACATGTTGAGCATAGCCTTGTCGGTCAGCCTGTCCTGCATGAAAAGCATCTTAATGCGCGCATGCAAAGCCTCATCGCCTGTCGTCGTTCGGTGTCGCTTTCGGACGCCCCACTTGCGAAGGCGGGACTGGATGGTTCGCTCCTTGACCTGGATGTTATGACAATTTTCGAGGGCGCGGCTAATGGAGTCGCTACTGATGCCGTGGTGGAAGAGAGCAATGATCTCATCCCGGTAGGGTTCTAAATTGATCTGTTGGCGAGGCATTCTGGGGTTGACAAGAGAAGAGAAGAGAGGAGATGAGTTGGGGAAAGTTTAGAGTTGTCTCAAGGCGGTGAATCTCCGGAATGATCACGCTTGATATGGATGCGATGGCTTCAAAGTTCGACGAAGAGAGATGTTATTGAAGATGTGATGCTCATTAGCTTGGGCAGAGATCTGACCTGCAAGTTTTTTTAAAAAAAATATTGGATCAAATAGGATGCATGGAACACCCCGATACAATTACATGCAAGATGCTAATTAAGCCTCTCAGCTGTCATGTTAGATTGTAGAGTAATTGTATAGTTCCAAAATCAGATTCAAGTTATCATTTCATTTTCATAGATTCATTACGGATTGCGAATCCTACCAAGCAAGTCACAGAATTCAGATATTTGTCTGATCCATTCGAACTCGACCTAAACCTTTTTCTCCGCCTCGACACCAGCATGCGAGCTCATCATTTCAGGGCTGGACTTGTTCCGCTTTGCAATGCGGAATCCACCAAGCAGGAAGAAAATAGCCTGCAGACCAAGAATCACCGCGAGGGTAACCATCGCACCAATGACACCCGCCACAACGAGGGACATCCCCGAGCCACTAGTGCTAGAGGTGCTAGCAGAGTCAGAGGCGCTGCTGCTGTCCGAACTGGCGCACTGGCCCTCTGTATTGCCGCACATGGTACACCACTCCTCATCGGATGTCACGGCGACCTCTTTGATCTTGGAGGAAAAGTCGTCCCAGGAGAGAAGTTTGCTTGACTGGCCGAATAGTGGGTATGCAGTAGGCTCAGATGAGCCCGTGATGGTACCGTTGTGGAACATGAAACGCACGCTGAGGTCGGACGTGTCAGTCGGGAAGTCGGTGCCACTGGCGTTTGTCACCAGTTCGAAGACCATTGACGAGGCGTAGTCCGGGATTCCGGTAAAGTTGACGGAGGCAGCAGGCATCTGCAAGAGGCCGAAGAGAGAAAATATGGTGCCATAGGAGCCGAATCCGATGTTCAGCTTGGACTTGCCCTTGGTGGCGATGGTCTCGTTGAGCGAGGTCAGGATTTCGCCCGCCAAGACAGCACCGTCGATGGCGCGTACTTTATCGGAAGAGTTGTAAGCCAGGTTGAATTCATGGCTTCCAGCTAGAGCAATCAACTGGTGGTACACCTCATCGGTCAGGTCTGACTTGTGAGGGAATTGACTGGTAGAGTTATGGATTTTGCCGACGTTCAAGTAGTCGAAGATGGTATAGGCGTTCTTGAAGGATATATCCGACGAGGCAAATGCGCCCTCTAGCATGGGTGAAAGCGATTGGTAGAATTCCTTGGTCGAGGACAGTAGCGAGGTGTACATGTCGGAGAAAAAGTAGTTGTTGCTGCTCACGGTTGCCTTTTGACATCCAGTAGAGCCCTGCAACCAGCTGGAATCCTCGGCGTTCTTGCTTGTAGTAGCCGGTGTCAACAAAATGAGCTGATAGCCGTTCAATGGTGCCTCGACCGAGTTTCCACTGCCTAGGGTCTGGGAAGCTACTTTTCCCGCGGGGGGATATACACCCTGTAGGAAGCCAGTGGCAGAGTTCTGCAGGACGGCCTCCGAGGGAGCAGAGGCACTGATCTGCTTTGGGTTGACAACATCGGCACTAATGCCCTCGATCTGCTTGGAAGAGTTGGACGAGATGTATCGCTCGTTATAGAAGGATCCTGCATTAAAGACCTCCCGGTAGCCCAGGTCGGTCAGTTGAGTGCTACCAAAAACCTTTGGTGTACGATCTCCATGGCGGGCGAAAATATACGCACCCAGCACCCGCTCGGCATCAACCACAGGAGACAGAGACGCAGCCAGCAAAAGACCCTGGATCGAGTAGCGCATAGTGAAATCAGAAGAAATTGTCAGTAAATTCCCCGGGGTGGTTGCAACTCCTTATCTGGTTTATGTCGAACGGCCAAGCGGGCAAGATACAATGACTCTTCCCCCTTTCCCCTCAGGGTCTTGGTACCTAAACCCAAAGGCAAGTTTAGGCCTCATAGTAAATTAGTCTGAGAGTAGTCTAGTGGAATTATTCCACCAGAATCATTGGTCAGTCTTGAATGTCAACAAAGTTGTAAGTCAACAAATTAGCTAACTGAAAATCATCTCCGCGGCCTGCGAGTGCGATAACGGAGGATAACGAGGGAGCAAGTCTAGATCGTCTAGATCGTCAAGAACGAAAATGGCAATTGGCTACTTGTCCGGAGTATTTCGGTTTAAGTAAAATAAGAGAAGTTTTTCCTTTTCGCCCAGACTCCAAGCCTACCCAGTTACATTTATATCAAAAACCAGATGTTTGGATATCGCTTATACTGTAACACCTTTGTCACCCAGTAACTCACACCCATTTCGCACCACACCAACAAGTCCTCCAGTCTGAATAGCTTCCGAACCACCCCCAGCAAGTCGCCATTCAATCTCGGCCAATCCCTCAAGCCACGTGATACGTGTTTGAGCGGGGACTTCGAGCTGTTGGAGTTGGTCTGCTAGTGCAGAGAGGATGTCGGCCAAAGCCAGACCCTTGCTGGACTTGAGGGTTTGTACGGTGTTTAGACAGGAAGTGACATCGCTGGTGGAGAGGATGGTGGTCATGATTTCTTGAATATCGGACGGGTGTGGGGCGGCAATGCAGTCGTAAATCGTCGCATTGGTGATAGTCTCGGGCTCGGGACGAGGAGCTTTAGGAGCGTCTCTCATCGGCAGTGGGATACCTAAAAAGATAACATGGGTCAATTGGGGATGGAAGCAGGGAGAAAGGACATGAACTTACTGCTGGCAAAGCATGCCTGAAGCACGTTGAGGGCTCGTCGCATATCACCTTTGCTCAGGGTCACTAGACTATCGACCGCATCGGGCTGGATCTTGACACCCTCCTTCTCAATCACTTTGTCGACCAAGGTCCGAATATCGACTTCCTTCAATGGACTAAACCGGAATCGAGTACACCGGGACAGGAGTGCCGGGGAGAGCTTATGTGTGTAGTTGGCAATGACGCAGAATCGGGTATTGGCCGTGTAGCGCTCCATGATACGACGAAGGGCCATTTGGGCGGTGGAAGTCATCGCATCGGCTTCATCCAAAATGATAAGCTTGTAACCTGCCAGAGAGGAGCCGGCAGTGCCTTGGGGGGCCATGTTGAAGATCTGTTTGGTGCCTGTTGTTCACGGTAAGCTGATAGTTCAACCCGAGACTCCTAGGGTACGAACTTGCAAAGGTCTTGATTTGTTCTCGAACAACGTCAATACCACGATCATCACTTGCATTCAACTCCAACACCATCTGTCGCATGTTTTTCGTGCCGTAGATCCGCCGCGCCAGGGCCAGGATGGTGGAGGTCTTTCCGGTTCCTGGGGGTCCGTAGAGAAGGAGATGGGGTAGTCGCTGTATGACAGTGTTAACCAGAGGCCATCGTACATCCATCATAGGCATTTTGTTACATTTGTCTCCACGAACCGGTTGATAGTCGCGAGAATGTCTTGATGGCCAGAGACATCATCCAGGCTGCTTGGTCGGTATTTCTCGACCCTGACAAGTTTATTAGTGGCATAATAGAAGAGACACAATCCTCAAACTCACCAAGGCAAATTATCTTGAGCTTCAACTGGCAGATCGGCGACAGTTCTCTTTTTTCCACTGGCGTTCTCGGAGCTGAATTGCATGTCCTTGGGCGCATCCACGTCCATTTCGTCCTCGTAGTCCGACATGGTGAATGTCTCTTGAGTAGAGATAAATAATCAATATGAATCAAGAGGTAAATGAAAAGTGTGGTTTGACGCGTTGAGCGCGTAAAGAGGCTCGGGGCGGAAAATCGTATGGAGCTTGGGGGGACTCCACAGATGACATCCCTCTGCCTAACCTCCCAGGTCAACTTGTCCCCTCCGTCTTTTTGATTGAACGCTACAATTTAATTCTTCGACGCATTCCAAAATGCCTGTATGTTTCAATACCCTGTGTGTCCGAAGCCCCTTATTAATCAATGCAGGCATACCACTCCATCTTCCTGGAGGACCGTGATGTCCCCGTGATAGGTAGGAGAACACTCTAGCGCAGGAGTTCCTGGGCTATGAATCGACATTGAAAGAATTAAATTGACGAATTTCTCTTGACTAGGAAATTTCCCTATTCTTCCCCTTCGAACCCGTACTCGTGGCCCCGCATACACATTGCCCCCGCTTCCCAACATCGACGACATCGATGTGACCCCAGAAAGTGAATCATATGATTGCGTCGATGAAATCCTATCGCTCTTCCGTGCCAATGTCTTGTTCCGCAACTTCGAGATCAATGGTCCCGCGGACCGCATGCTCATTTATGGAACTCTGTTTATTAGCGACTGCCTTGGAAAGGTCAAGCCAACAATGACTGCCCGGGAGGCGGAGAAGGTATGTTTCGATCCTATATATCAGTGTGATGTAGGAGAACTACCACTGACAATCTTATTCCCAGGCCCTGACCAACGCTGCCCTCGACAACTTTGCTATTCCTGGTGATGTGTCGTTCCCGCTTAACCAGGCCTTTGAGCCCCCCCGTGACCGCCAGGACGCCGAAACCCTTCGCCAGTGAGATTCTCGCTGCTATATATTGCAGAGCAATCTTGGCTAACCGGTTCTTGTGATTCTAGGTTCATCTCGCAGGTGCGACAGGAGATCGCCATCCGCCTACACGCTAGATTATACCCCGGTGGAGTCGGGCCATCAAAGGTAAGTGGGAGCAAAGAACGAACTCATGGTCTATCCCAAGTACTAATTCATTTTAGTTCTGGCTGAGTTTCACGAAGAGAAAGTTCATGGGAAAGAGTCTCTAGACGACGAGCGTTGCTGTATATTGTTTGATGAAATTCAGCGCATGAATGAATTTGATACTTGATTCAAAACCACGATCGCTTTGCGTAGCGACCAGAGACACTTGGATGTGGCCACTTGCGCATCTGGGAGTCAAATTCCCCAGACTAACCCTAACTCGATGCCCAGTATGACCCAAACAAGGGGTAGCAGGTAAAGTGGGATCACATGAAAAATAAGAAGTAAGTGGTACTTGTACATTGAAATGGTATTTGATCTATTTTGAGGGCGTTTAGGGCGTTCATTCAGGAAACCTAGGTCATCTCCACATCTCGATCACTGATCGGGGTAGATGTCGTTTCCACCTTCCGTCTCTTGCGAACGTTGCCAGCAGCCTGGATATTCTGTGCAGTGGGGAACACGCGAACCCCATGGAAGAGATATCCCTCTGCGCCACCACGTCCAGTCATGAGGGGGTGAGTTCGACCGGGTAGAACTTGCCAAGGGCGTACACGCGACGTTTGTAAGGTAGGGGGAAGGAGAATCGTGGGATCAACGACAAATTCTTCATGAAGTGTGGACAAATCAACGGCCTCTCCCTCGGGAGTCTGCAACTCCAACTCTCGCTTTTTGCTGATAAATGCGGTCCTCCGAGCAGTGGAGTACATGTCTGCCAATTCCACCAGAGACTCAACTGTCGGAGAATACACGACAACAGGGGCAGACCCCGCAAGGAGCGGGACCATTGTCTTTAAAACGCTTGCCGGCTCTAGTAAGGTGGACACGATCAGACCGTCAAAGTTACCGGCCCGACCCTCGTCCACAACTGCTTTAACTCGCCCCCATCGATTGCGCTTGTGGTAATACGCAGTGCGCTTGCTTTGTTTAAGCTCGGCCAATTCCTCTTCGGGTATGACGGGTGGTTCGTTGGCGTAGAGCGGATCGGAATTGGGGTCAGCCAACTGCATCCAGGAAATTGACTTGAGATGGGTGTGGAGTGGGTGGGATTCATCGGGGTTATTGGTGTCATAGCCAAAGAATTTTAAGAGTGACAGGTTCGGTTGTGAGTATGGGTGGATAACGGTGATAGTGTTGGTAGTAGCGGACATTGGCTGAGGACGTATGCGCCGGGGCTTTGGGAGGCCATTAGGAGGCTGGGATTCTGCGGCATTCTGGGTTGGAGCATCTTGTTCCTCTGTTGGATCTTCGTCGGCATCATGAGGATATAGAATTCCCATGCGCTCAGCCATCGCAGCGACAACCAGTCCGCCAGTCTCATCGACGATGGCATAACGTCCATTCGGCTTCATCCCCTCACCCACCTCAACGTTCCCACTGTGATGTACATTACCCCAACACCCGATGAGGCCGATGTGTTCGTCCCGTAGCTCCATCGACTTTTGCGCATCGCGTTCTTCGATCAAATAATTGGCGAGAAGGCCGACGTCCAGCGGGAGAACGGTGAACCGCTTCAGATACTTCTTGCGTTTCCGTAGTGTGTATTTGGCAAGAGAAAATGCAGTCTTCTGGTCGATTGCGGTGTGCGACTCCAAGAGCTTTGCGACAATGTCTTTCCCCGCGCCACCGGCCTCTTTCTTTAATTCTTCAATTTCCTCCAAAGTCAATTTCTGGGAAGAGTTTTCGTCATTGATTTGACGATTTGTTCGCATCGGTACTCCATTTTCGCCAGTATCCACGTCCTCACCCTCCCCATCTCCCTCCCCGTCCGCGAGTAGGGTCTCGGCATGCAACTCGGTTGCTGACACGACACGTAGTTGGTTGCCATCACCGTCGCATGCATCCAGGATTTCAAAGGTGAAGTAGAATGGTCGTCCAATAATCTGATTGGCGGTAAAGCTACCAAATCTACCCAAATTGACGACTCTGATCCAATGTTAGTTGTGGAATCTTCCCCGCATAGAGCAGAGAGTACTTACGTATCGGGGATGATCTGGATGAGTCTTAACTGATCCGACTGAAGCCGGATACCCACGAACTGGCCTGGGCGAATATAGGAATGCATGATGGCGATGGAACAGCTGTGCCTCTCGAGCCCTTCCA